GAGCATAATCGCTGTAAAGGAGCTACCTTAGGACTTCCGCTATGCACAGAATTTCAGCCTCGATTCTTCCGATAACCCTGATGTGTTTCAATAACCTATTAACTCTGTGATGCTCTTTGTCTCAGAAAGAAAGGTAACTTTAACTGAAGTATGTACGAACCATGACGAACAGATCTGATCATTACTTTGGCATTATGAGCCACGTCTTTGCTTATGACCATGGATTCATCTAGAAAGATTGCTCATAGAAAAACAGAATTAAAGAATTAGCTAATTTTCTACATTAGAGTAGACCGTTTGCCTTATGGCGTTGTATCTGCTCTGATAATGGAAACGCGACTTTCGTCTGGAACAATTCTTTTGACTTTAAGTTTATTCTTGGTCTACAACCATCGAAGCAAATCCTCTTTCTAAAAGATTAGTTTGTTTGCAATACCCCTTTCGATAATATTCATCAACTTCCATCAGTTTATCAGTTTACAACTGTCTGCGAATCTTGTGAATGACTACTGTTTAGATATCTACTTTCGAACAGAATACTGTGTTATTCAACAAAATTGCTGTTGTTGCATTCGTCGTCTGAGACACAGCTCTCGTGGAGGAGACTCAGATGAGATACCTCCGTGACTCATTGCACAGCACAGATTTGACATGTCAGGGTTCTGTGGTTCAAATGTCTGTTGCTTCCTTGTCAACGTGTTCGATCTGTGCGTTCACTACTTTGACCATATGCAAAATTATCAACAAATCGTAAAACTACCGGATGTCTGGAGTTGGCGACTTCGTCTGGGTCCAAGCCTTTCTTCATTGCCTTGTTTCGGGCGATTTGCCGTTGACGTTCGTTCAATTCCTTGAGCTAAAATCTACCACTCATACAAAATTCGTTACAGTTACAGTAATTGGTTATGTACATCGTAGTCTTGACGTTCGCCACGTTTTTCCAGGTCATATTTCTCCGCCTCGAGTCGACAGATTCTTTGATGAAGGTCTTTGACTTTCGCCCTGAGAGTCTGAAACGATGCCTTGAAACATCTTCTGACTACATAGAGCCAACAACGAGTTATATTTTTAGCGTACATCCATCACTATTTACAGAGAGTTAATTTTCCGATGAAAAAATAAACATGAAGAACAGAAAAATTGAATATATAGTTGATAAATGACAAACAAAATAATCATGTTTTGGAAAGTGCGTCATGAATAGTAATTAGTGAATCTTTCATCGGTCTGTAGACTTGCATAGCTTTGCGAAAGATTTTTATGCCAGCTGCTCTCGAAAATGCTGTTTTTCTTGAGTACTACAATAAGCAATCTTACTGTAGCTTAAACATCGCGTGGCAGAGACGAAAACTGGCATAACACATAGATGATTTTCGGTTTGCTCGTCGATCCAAATATAAAAACAACTTTAATAAGGCATATTTTCAAATTTCTCTCCCTAAAGCTCTAGAAAAACAGAAAAGACTCTTTTAGGTCAGTTCCGCTTATTGTTCACTTTTACTTTTTCTCTTCGGTCTTTTTCTTTTACTTTTAATTTGATGCCAAAACTATTCACTTCAATAAATTCATATTGACATGTCTGCTTCCAGTAATACTATTTATAGCTGAAAATATTTTGCCAGACGTAAGTTCACACGGGGTAGCTTTCAAACGGCTTCGCTACGTTTGCCTTAGCATTTTGGCACATGATCTCTTGCCATGCCTTGTCAATTTTTACGTCGATGTTATAATTGTCATTTCTAGTGGGTGACATCTCTTACATATTTTCTTGTTTCGTTGTTTATCTACATATGCAATGATATTGCTGAAACATTTTAATTAAAGTCATGTTAATGAAGATTGTCTTTCAAACGGCTACGATCCTACAGAAGTTCAAGCTTATAATATGGTAAATATGATCAGTTCATCTATGGACACTGGAATAGTGACATGTCACAAAGAATTTTAAATTTACGTACGTTTAGATCCATGCCTTTGTCCAATGGTTTCAGAACCTCAGACAAATATTTTCTTTTTGCTTCCTCTTGTTGTTCTTTGGTGAGTCCCATTTCGGCTTTCGCTTTGACAATATTGCCAAACTTATCGAACTTTTCGGCTGACTTTTCCTTTTTGTTGATGGAGAAGTTGGGAGTAGTAGACACCTTTAGACCAGCCATCATCTGTTGACGCTTCTTCTTTTCCTCCTCCTTCTTACGTTTCTCTTCCTCAGTCTTGCGTTTACGTTCCTCTTCCTCTTGCCTTCGGCGTTCTTCTTCCTCTTTCCTTCTCTCTGCCATGATTCGGTCTTCCTCTTCTCGTTCTCTTCTTCTCCGTTCCTGAAATATATTTTATAGCATCAAGTTATGGCAATCGGTTGTCTGACCTGTTTCTCTTTCAGTTGTCGCAGCTCCTCTTCCTCACGTTCTCGCTGCATGCGCCGTTGTTCCTCATACTCTCGGAGCTTGGTCGCTTCCTCCTCTTCATGCTTCTTTTTTGCGGCCTAAGGAATGCAAGTGTCGTTTGGTTCGACTGTCGAGGCCCGTCAGGTTAGATTCTTACCAGCATTGCCTTTTCGGCCTCATTAAGCGCTTTCACTTCTTCATCTGGGACGGATTTTGCCTTCGGCCTGAACAGATCGGTGCATGTTTACGCGAACTGCATCAACGGAGAAAAACAATACGGGAAACAGAAGGGGAGAACAAACTCTGCAGTTGCTGACAAGATTCGATAAAAAAATATGACAGAAAAACACGAAATTTTAGTGGCATGCATCAGCATTGGAGACAAGCATCGACACTACATATACTCAATAAGAGAAAATAATAGGACTAAATAATTGTAACACATGCTTCCATAGCCCACATTCGTTTTTGGGCAAGCAGGACACTTTTGGGGGTGAGCAGAGGATATTAGGTGTTCACATATAGAGTAAGTAACTAACAGGTAAACAGGGACATTGGGTATAGGGTATACAGGGATAAGAGGAGCTTATGAATGCGTAACCACAAAAATGGAGCATGTAACTTTGCTTACCGTGGTTTCTCTGCTTCCCTAAACATAGAGATGATTAATAATTAAATTTGCACTGCTAAAAGCTAAATAATGTCATACTGCTGGTGAAAGCTATATAAATGTAGCATTAAGTACCTGAAACTGACATAGCCACAAACACGCTGTTGCACCTGACGGGAAGCAAGTCATTCACTCAGTGACTGCTGGTCATTATGTCGACACGTAGTCTGGTCAACAGCGATTAATGGAATCGGTCAGTAATTTTGCATGCATGAGGCAACTAGTGTGAATTTTGTGTCCTGTCTCGCCGCCATTTCAACGGAAGGTCGCAACTGCCTTAGAACAATAATCTAACCTATTGGACCCTGATTTGGACATAACAGTCGTAAAATTGTGCTTTCCGAATCTTCCACTTTTTTGATTAAGGTTACTGAGGGTAAAAATGATGACGCAGTTATAGGGGAAGCCGGGATTAAAAATACTTAGCTGAAAGAGGACATGCTGGCATAATGGAAACAAAGCTCCATTGGAAGCGAACATTTACCTGAAAAATTAGACCTCGCGTTTTTGATCTTCAATGATAGTTATCAAGTGGGATGCCTAATTCCATTTCAACATGGCAGCTTCCAAAATCAGTTGCCTTTCAATACCTCGACAGCGACAGCTTGGTGCTTCGATTCTGTCACTTTTCCCAGTTTCATCTCCTCCTTGACTGTCAGCCCTTCTTACGCTTACGTTGCAATTCACAACAAGCACATGATTCTCAGAATGAATTTGCATTACACTACATGATGACGTACGTACTTCCTGAAAAATTTCTTATTTACGCTGCATGTGGCTGAAATCAGATTAACCGTTCAGAGCACAAATTTGGGAAATGGCTGGTAAGGCTGCGTTTCAAGCAAGCAAGCAAACATTGCGGAAGGAGAAAGTAATATTAAAGTAAATGTATGTTCATATCCTACTAACTCTCTCGAGCTTGGGATACTCCG